CCATCCATAATAACAGAACTTCGGTCCAAATACTTGTTTTTTTTTTTTTTCCAACCATAATCAAGTCACTTGCACGACGATAAACAAAACTCGTGTGCGCATTGTTCACAATGAAACAGAGTCCATGCCAAAACAAAGTCGACATAGAAAGATTGCAAACATGCTTTAACAAAGACATTTATGTTCGGACCTCGAAATTGCGCACAAGTTGGGCATAGGAAAACAAAACGACCTGTCATATCTCTCTCTCTCTCTCTCTCTCTCTCTCTCTCTCTCTCTCTCTCTCTCTCTCTGTGGAAACGACAACGGCTATGTGATTGTGAACATGGACAGCCCACATGACCAACTACGACGACGACTCGCCAGACGATGGAGATTGATCACGACGTGATCGGGAAACTATACCCTTCGACAGACTACGGAGAGCAGAAGCAAGTATTGCATAACCGTTCTCGCGAGCAGATATGTCTTCTCTCATCACTGTGCATGTCAAGTTAGCTACGTCCCTGTACGCCTGAAGTTCGAGATCACACAGGTTTGTTAAAGTGTTGCAGTGTAGCTCGGTGCATGCCCTGCTGCTGTTGCTCTGTTCTGAAGCTGACTCTTGTACTGCACGCGTGTGCTTTGCCATGGCTTGAGTTGTGGTGGTTGTCGTTAGCTCCCTGGCGTTGGTGTTTTTCCGGCGTTTTGTAGGCGGAGTTGGTCCTGTGCCACCCGTCATAGTGGAAGACTCGCCTCCTGTTCCCCCTCCTCTGTTGGCAGACGCTCCACCTCCGCCTGCCCCTCCTCCGCCTGCCCCTCCTCCACCTGCCCCTCCTCCACCTGCCCCTCCTCCGCCTGCCCCTCCTCCGCCTGCCCCTCCTCTGCCTGCCCCTCCTCCGTTGGCAGGCGGTCCACCATGACCCGCATCAGCCCCGCCTCCACCCTGGACTCCCCCTCCTGCAGCAGCTCTGCGCGGGGGGGAGGGGCGCACCTCCTCCTCAGCACCCGGATCTTGTACGAACGTCGGAGAGATGGTCTGGCTGTTTCGATTGTAAACATCAAACCAGCTCCTTCTCATGCTGAAGTGCAGCTTCGCAGCAGCCCTGTGAGCAGGATTCATTTTCCAATAACTCTGACGCCCGCTCCTTTCATCATTATCGCACACTTGCTTGTACCACCTCTTGAGGGTGTTCCACCTCGTCTTACATTCGTCTGCCGTTGGATCGTGCTCTTCTCGCTTCATAATGTCAGAGACGACATCCTAAACCTTTCGTTCGCCGTTCCCACGTCCCCACTTCTCAGAGTTAAACCCGGTTTCCGCTAGTTGCTCCGACCTGGTTCGCAGGAGGAAGATGGTCTCCTCCTCTCCTCAGCGCTCGCCCTCTGCAAGGCCTTCGTGCACTGCCACCACTGGCACTGTCAGTTGGAGGTTGATTATTTCCACTGCCATCAGCGAGAATAATGCCCCTTCCACCGCCTGCCATGGTGGCAACAAGCCCTCCCCCACATCCACCTACATTCCCTTCAGCACCCCGACAACAACATCTTCACCGTTTCCCACGCTGGCCGACGGTGTGACATCCCCATCATCAATGACAACGACAACATTATTTGCTGCCGTGTGCGCCGTCCCTGTGTTCACTGCCGCTGCATGTGTCTGACTGTCATGTGCGCCCGCCGATGGTGCAACATCCCTCCGAGCACAACGACAACATTGTTTGTTGGCGGTTGCGCCGACCCTGTGTTTAGTACCTCTGTGTTTTTCTGAGTCTCGTGCGCGCGCGCTGTCAACCTCGGCGACTCCATTGTTCATCTGTCTCAGCGTAGGGATGACGACGTCGATGAAGCCAGCGAAGCTTTGCAGACCATCACAGGGCACATCATTCCTGTCGTCCTCTGGTGCAGACCCCCTTGTCCCTGGATGCTGCAAGGATGGAGGAGTTGACGATAGATAGTGTCACTGCCACGTCCGGTTGTCGCGGCGCAGGGGACCGTTCAACACATGGCGGTGTACCCCACGAAGCACTAGCGTGATACGTGGGCGGGCATCAACGTCCGGGCTGAAGTTAGTGGAGACGCGTAATGTGGTGGGGGCGTGTGGGCGATTTCGAGGAGGCACAAGCAGAGAGGAACCAAGGACCGGGCTGTGTGGAGGCGGTGTAAAACGGTCGGGTGTGTGGATCAGATTCGATTGCGAAGGAGCGATCAGAGATGATAGGGGTAGGGGCATCCCAGGTGGAGACATTGTGGGAGGACATGCTGGCAAGTCATTGAAGGACAGGGGCGGGCCATAAGGCAAGTGAGGTGGGAGCCCAGTTGTGGGCGACGCATACGGGACTGGCCGATGACATTCACACCACAGAGGGGAGCAGTGAATGGCACTCCTGTCCCTTGCACAAGCATATCAGGTCGAAGGGACTTTGCACGCTGGCCTGCTCTCCCATCAGCAACACCTGCGCGCACTGGAAAGGTGGCGGCAAGGATTGGAGGGCTTGCATGAACTTCGCCCACATGTCCGACACCTCCACGCACGCCTGATGCACGCAAGAAGAGTTGTCGCCTCACAGCGGCCATGCAGTCCTCATCCGCCTCTCCTCTAAGGACAAATGACGATTGCAAGAATGCGTCATTTGGAGAGGTGGCCGATGTTTGCATGCTGCTCGTGTTCTGCACTCCCTGCTCGTGTTCTGCACTCCCTGTGTGAACTTGCGCCCGTCCATACCCGCTACTTCGTCAACGACCCGGAGATGACTGGACTGATACTGGACTGATACAGCAAATGATCACTGTCTGGATGAGTGCAAACTGCAATGGCGGAGATGAGTGGACTGATACGGCAAACGATCACTGTCTGGATGAGTGCAAACTGCAATGGCGGAGAGGTCGCCACAACATAAAGCAACTGGATGGAAGCATGGAAATGGAGGGTGCCGGCCACATGCTTATATATTTGCACCCACTACGGCGACGACAAGAGAGAGAGAGAGAGAGAGAGAGAGAGAGAGAGAGAGAGAGAGAGAGAGAGAGAGAGAGAGAGAGGAATGTTTGCTCCCTGAACGTTCCTTCACGCTGTACACACTGCCCAAACGCTGTGCAACGATCAGTGGACGAGGACTGACATTACCGCCCAACGTCGGACCGTATCGCAGCTGCGCAGACAGTCGCAGGCAGCGACCGACCCAACGGCTCTCTCCACCCACCCCGCCACCCTGCATGGACACATGCTCCATGTGTTCACCTGCAACTACCATTTTAATGCCAACGGCATTAACGGAATCTCCCATGGCACTCACACCATCCCACCCCGTGTGGCGATGCTAATCGTGACATCTGTAATTAGTTTATTTTTTTTCCCTTAGAGACAAAGGGTAAGGTCACCCTGAGGAAGGCAGAAGACACATCCGTTTCCATCGCCTCATCAAGCATTCATCTCCCACGCTTTGAACGAAGGCCCCAATGGATGTTGCCGTCGTCTGAGTGCACAACTGCCATTGTACAGCGTAGCAACATAATGTGACGCAAACCATTGCTTGTGCATGCATACTGGATCCATGCAAGAAGGACATCATCACACGGGGGATCAGCCATCACGTTACCGTTGTGGCAATCGCAAGTTGAATTCAAACCGTTAGCCTCATGTGTCAAACCACCTTGTTCCCGAAATCGAAACCCCCCTTGCACTGTTATCCTCCCCTGTCAAACCAGCTTGTCCCGAAAATCGAAACACCCCTTGTACCCTTGTGTGTCACATCGGGAAATCGAAACACCCCTTGCACCACCGGGGTCCCAACTGGGACAATCGTCACTTCAAACTCACAAACTTGAAGTACATCGGTCACTCGAGGACGGCTTTCATCCGAAGCAGCGGCGCTGTCCAATCCCTCCACTGAATGGGTGTGTACAGCGATTCAAACTCACAAAGGGGGAGAGAGAGAGAGAGAGAGAGAGAGAGAGAGAGAGAGAGAG